ATGGTTTGGGCTTGGGACCATCGGGCAGTGGATAAAGAACAAATCTCTCCTGTTTTCATTTTGGCCTAGGACTTTCTGATTTATAAAATGAGTTCTGAACTGGACTCTGATATCTGGATTGGATTAAATTACACAAAGGCTGAAAACAAGTGGAAGTGGGTAGATGGCACAGATCTACCCTATAGGTGAGTAGAATTCTTCAATGGCACATCCATTACCTCGTCAGAATATATTGAAATTCAGGCTCAGCTTGGTTTAAGCATGTCAGGAGTAACATTTGGAATGCATGTTTTTATAATATCAGTTGGAAAAAAAAGAATGTTATTCACTTGAAAAAGTGACACATTTGTGAATGGCATCCTCATTTGAGGAGGCAAATAAAAAGTAAAGATAGTTGTTTTGGTCTGTGTTGCTCTTGATGCTGTTATGTGTCGTCAAGTTGTCTTCAGCCTATGGCAACCATATGAATGAAAGCCCTCCAGAATGTCCTTCCCATGACTGCTCCATTCAGCTCTTCCAGGTTCAAGGCTGTGGCTTCCCTTTTGGAGCCACTCCATCTCGCATTTGGTCTTCCTTTTCTTCTTCTGCCTCTGACTTTCCCTAGCTTGACTGTCATCTCCAGGGAGTCTTGCCTCTCATGACGTGTCTGAGCACGGCAGCCTCAGTGTTGTCATTTTTTGCTTCTAGCAAAGCTCTGGCTTCATAAAATTCGATGAGTCCTTCGCCTGCTTCATTTCTTACCCCTAGGCCAAATTTTCCTACAACATTCGATTCTGCTTTGTTTCCCACTTCTGCATTCAAGTCTCCTAAGGTTAGTAACAAGTCTTGTCTTCATGTGTTACCAGTTTCCTCTTGAACACCTGCGTAGAAGTTGTTGATTTCTTTTTCTTCAGCATCTCTTGTTGGAGTGCAGACTTGAGTGATGGTATTCACTAATCTTGATTGATACTATTTGGTCAAATTGTGCATTATAGGCTCTTACTGCATGTGCTACTTCTTGTCTCTGAATTAGAGCCAGCCCATTTCTTCTGAGTTTGCCATTTCTTGAGTAAAACACTTTGTCTCATGGAAATGTCCCTTTCCAATCCACTTTAGTTTACTCCCACCAAGTACTGCAACATGCATTGTTTCCATTTCTTGCTTTACAGTTTTCAGTTTCAGGCAGTATTCCCCTTTTTATAGTCTGTATGCTGAGCTTTTAACAGTCATTGCAAGTAAGAAGACATTAGGCTAGCTGCTTGTTGGGTGCAAGCAGCAACAATTTATACACCTGTTTAGAGGCTGCCTTTAACTGCCAAGGCCTTAGAGGTTTATTGTGCCCTGCACAGCACAATTCTATGCATGTTCGCTCATAAGCAGGTCCCAGGTGATCAATGGGGCTTCCAGAAGTGTATGTGGGGCTGCAGCTGGACAGTTTTTCCAGCTGCTCAGAATCCACAGCAAAATGGATTCCAGCAGTGAATGCTTTCCCAAATCCAAGGCCTGTCCCACGTGTGACATTCTCTGTTAGAATGCAACTCCAATAACATGCTGCTTTTCTTTTTCAGTAGCTGGAGCACTGAAGGAGGAAATCCACATTTGATAGACAATAAGCAAGAGAATGTCTGTGTTATTGCACAGGAAGATGTGAAATACAAATGGAAGAACATTATGTGCAAAAAGTACCATCATTTTTTTTGTGAACTGGGCAAGCATGTTTCCTGTGTCCTGCGATCCCCACTTTTGCTCCATTAAAGCTAGATTTCTGTGTGCATATAAACAGAATCAAAATTGTCTATTAAATGTCTATTTCTTGTCTGTATTTTATCAGTATTTTATCACTTGCATTCGCAGCTTAAGCTTCGGGGCCATCCCCTGCGGGTAGGGGACGTGTGTTTCGAGAATAGTCAGAGTGATGGAACCAGTAACAAATGTCTGTCAGAGAAACAGAGGGCAGGGAGAGAGATGTCGACTGGAAATGGCTGTATTGCTACAGAAAAAGAGACTCCAAGCATGCACTCATTATTTCCTCTCCCAGGATACCGCTCAACTCACAGAGCCTGGGTTGCCCCAGTGGCAGTCTCTTTGGTCGAAGATATTGCCAGACCATCAGTGAATAGGTTCAGATAGCATGAGGACCTACGCTCAGGGCCTCTGTGGCTTGCTTTGTCATCCACCATGGTATCCTTCCAGACTGGCTGCCTGGGATGGGATTCAGAGGCACTGCCTTACTGGCTTTCTTGGAGGGCTACTTCCAGAAGGTGGGGCTGGTGGACTCCTTTTGGACACCTTGCCTGCTGTCTGCATGATGGTGTCTCCCAAGCTTCTTCCTTCCTGCAAGCTATTTCCCATATAAAGGTTATCTGGGGCTTGCATGTTTGTTGTTGCCAGTATGTTGCTGACATCAAATTCTATCTCCATTTACTACTTTCAAGAAATCTATTTAAATTCTGAATCAAAGTCTGCTGGGCTGGATGAGGGGAAACAAACTGAAAATTCCAGCAGGCAAAGCAGAAGGGAACAGATGGTGTAATACATCTTGCCGTTGCGCTCCCTTAAGAGTCTGCTTTGCAGCTGGAGTGTATTCCAGGCTGATGCACTGACGCTGCATGCCCAGGTTTCAGTGGTGCCCAGGAGCACTTTTGCACGACTAAGGTTGTGCACCGGGAAATGCCGCATTTGGCCTCTGCAACCCATGTCTTAGTTGCATCTCTTATGGACCACAGTTACACAATATCTGGTGCTGCCCTTGGAGCGTCTTTGGAAATGTTGGCAGCCAGACTATTAGCTCTTAGCAGGTATTCAAAGAGCTTCATTGGCCACCTGTCCTGACACCAGGTCTGGCCCAAGACATTTTCCTGCCTGAAATAAGGACCAAGAAGGTGTCCCCGCATCCCAGTCACAAAAGCCAACTGGACCAGCAGCTGAGTCTCACTTCAGTGCAGGGATGGGAAAGCTTCCTCCACTACATCTGGTTAGCAGATGGTTCTTTCTGTTACTCCGCTTAGCTAGCTCCTTCCAGATATTCTCATAGTCAGACTGCTCTCCTGTAATACATGGAGGAGAAGGCTGCCAATGGTGGCAAGTCCTGGTGACTTCAGCCTCAGAGGCAACGTGGCTATGTACAGGAGTCACTCAGAGCACTGGCGGGAAGGTGCTGCTGCACCCACATCCTGCTTGTGGGTTTCCTGTGGGAACCTGTGAACAGACCGCTACAGCAGCGGCACACTTGCACTGAGTCCGCAGGGAACTTCTTATGTTCTGCTTGTTGGAAAGAGCTGGAGGCAGCAAAGCAGTTGCATCCCATACCGTCTATGAGCAATTCCCCTGGCACCTTTCAGTGGACTTCTCCAAATGAGGCATTTATTCTGCACCTGTGTTTCTTTACTCATGGACTTTTACAGGTCCTTTTGATGGCAGTCCCATGTTTTCTAGCCATTTTCACTAGCATTTCTTGTTGAGCTACTGCCCATGATTTGCCACAGAGGCCAAAGTATCGTGTTGCGGTTCCACTCCATGGCACAGCTCTGCCTTGCGCTTGTGCAACAAAGCCTGCAGGTGCATGCATACAGGCGGCCAGGGAAAACCTGGGGAAAAGCCTCCTGCGAAGGACTCGCCAATTGTCTCACAAGGACAATGGAAGAAGAACCTTGTTAAAGGGGCAGGTGAAACAGCTCATGGAGAGAAGCCCAGTGTTGGTGAGCCTTGCAAATCAAATGCTTCGTCCCTCTTCAGGGTGTGAAAGCTGTGTCTCTCTGCATAACTTCACAATACTTAAAATCCAGAAACAATAATAAGAGGAAACCATTGATTAAGACCTCCCTCCCTGCGAGTGAAACTGATTACAGGGCAATTAAGTGGTAACTCAGCAGTAATTAATTGGTCATGCTGGAGCTGCATAGGAAGCAGAAGGAGTCCCTTCATGGAGGAAGTTCTGATTAAAGCAGCATGGGAGCTTTACGGATTGGAACTTATTTCTGAGAGACCTGGAGAGAAGGGCTTTGATGGTAGGGATGAGGATTGCCAGTAACAGAGCTGCTCTATCCAGTGCTGCATGGAAGCACCTTTCCCTTTCATGCCCAGCTACTGCAGAAAAACAGTGCCTCCACAGTGCTAAAGAGCCATAGTGCAGCAGAAGTCAGTCAGAAATCAGAATTTCCTGTCCGCTGTAGGGACAGAAGATGTGGCATGAAATCCGGCTTCTGACAGAAGCCCCTTCCTAAAAGGGTCTGGGCAGCAAAGTAATGATGAAGTAATGGTCAAAAGGACCCAACCTTTCTCCTTAAGGATGGGAGAAGCAAAACTAATAGATTATTAACACTGCAGTCTTGCAAGAAGATGAACTGAAGCTTCTCCACTTTTTTGCTAGTCTGAGGTTTTTCTGCAGACTGGGCTGGACTGGAAGCATATGGACCTGATTCCAGTAACATTAAAACTTGTTGTTAAAATAGCTTTGCACTGTGTAGGAAATGGCTAATCTAGATAAGAAGAAACTGGCTAGATAACAGTCTGGATAAAAATGACATATCTAGAGAATGGGCTAAAACAGGCTCATGTGGCACTGCAGGTTTCTTTCTTCTTCCTTCTGCCCCAGCCACTCCTCATCCAGTCACTCACGGTTCTATCAGATTTGTGTCTTCCTCGGCCTGTTCATGTGCCATGCCATTGAGTTATCACTGGGAGTGAGAAAGGGGGCTTTAAGGGTTTTCATGCTCCTGAAAACAGTCAGCTGACTTCCTGATGCAGAATTGAGGAGACTCCATTCTCCAAAGATGGAATTAGTACTGGAAGGAAATCCCTCACTGGGACAGTTCCAGTGAGAGCCCTTATTTCCAGTGGCTTGTGAACTTGTAAACAAGGTTAACCTCCAAATGGCAAAGCTTTAGGATGGGTGCACATATGCAGACTCTTCTGCAGCTTGTTCAATAAAAAAGGAAGCTGATAACAATAGAAATTGCAGGCGTCTGGTTGCTGGGTTTCATTGGTTCCAAGAGATATTGTTTCTCCATCCTTTTTCCACCATGGATGAAGACTACCAGAACGAAGACTACCAGAATGACAGTGCTTCAGAGAAACTTTCCCATGCTTGGGAACTGCAGCGTCAGAACTTGCATGGACAGGTAATGGGGTGGAGCTGGGAAGAAGGGAGAGTAAGAAATCATTCTCAAAGGGCTGTACTAGTTTTGCTACTGATGTGACATGTTTACAGAAAAGAAGAGAAAAATATTTCTCTAGTTTATTCCCATGAGAGCTTCTCATTCTGAACTGAAAACTTTTCTACTGAAGCCATTGATAGAACACTCATTATTTCTGACTCAAGTTATTTGGGGGTTGTTTAGATGATGCCTTGGCCCTTCTGTTTAACTTCTGATTTTTTAAGATCACTTTTCCAGATTTTGTTTTGTTTTGTTTTAAAGGGGGTGGGGTGAGAATGGAACATTATTCCTACAAGTGAAAGTAAATGTATTTTTCTATTGTGCAATTGTTGTATCCTCCTATAGCACAGCATCACCTAGAGGATATATATAGCAGAAAACAGGAAAGGGAAAGTCTTTGGTGTAGAGCTCAGATCTCAATCTGCTGAGTTTAAAGGAACTTGATCCAGCAGATTAGCAGCCTCATACAGAAAAGCTCTAACGTTCAGCACCCAAGACATTAGGGAAATACAGCCATAGTTCTCCATGTGTGGCAACTCCACATCTTACTGAAGTATTTACCCGCTTTCTCAGAGCTCTTTGTTAGATTTCAAGAAGCAGCAGAAGTTAGGCTCAGGGTAGCCAAATGCAGACATTTCTTGCACCAGCTGGCTGTTAGCACAAGTGCTATAAAAATGTAAGTCCACTAAGAAGCCCTTTTTGTTTTGCTTTTGTGTCTTTGTGGGATATATTCCACCTTTCTCTGGGCTGTCATATTATGTGTGAGCCAAAGAACTGGACGAACACACACTCCCAGAAGTGTTGAGGGTGGCAAACAGCAGCAGTGCCAAATAGGCAACGCATGCCTGAGAGCTGACTCTTTCGCTTTTAGAATCGAGGACTTTGGACCAAGGATATGAGAATGCAGAACACGAATATGAGCACATCGTGTTTCCTGACATACGGATGAGAAGGTTGCGAAAGCTGCAACACATCTCCACAAACGACTTTTTAACATCTCTAATCATGCCAGACTAGCAGTGTGATCCTATGCATGTTTAGACAGACAAACATCCTACACTTCCCAGCATCTGCCCCCTGGGCAATGATCTAGGACATTCTTCTGTCTAAGTATGCATAGGACTGCACCCTAAGACGTTAGTTCCTTGAAATGGAGCACGTATCTGTCAGGCAGAGAAGGCAGATTTAGAAGTCTTTGCTGATGATTTGGAAGCCTGTTTTCTCTCCTCATTTCTTCCCTTCTACATCATAGTGCCAACTGAAGTGGGTCACTTTGGCCTGCCCCATCACAAGGTTGACCCTCATCTCCAATACATTTGCAAAAGCATGTGAGCATTTTCCTTGTTGTTCTAATTGGCACCTTTATTTCCAAAGTTCAATGGTGAATGTAAATCCTTGTGGATCCACATGTACAAAAGGGCGGTATCAGTAGGCATTGCGGGAGGTCAACATTTACAGAAATGCAAACAAATGGATTTGTGTGTAGTGTATGTGAGGGGGTAAGACAGGGCATGGGTTGTTCCATCTAACATTTCTTTATGTCTTTTGCTGTAAGGTTAGGAGGCAGACTACAAAGAAGAAGGAGCAGTGCAGAGTATAAAAGCTCCAGCTTTTGGCTACTGAAATTTCAGCTCACCTCTCTTAGCGGAAACTACATTTCCCTTAAAACCATGAGGGCTAGAAACTTCATATTTTCCCTGAAATTCTACAAACCTCAGACTGTCAGATTTTGTCCCTTAAATATTCCTATGCAATGCAAAATTTATACACATGTTCTTTTGAGATTTTTTTCCACTAGTACTATTAGTAATGATCTCCTGCAAAAATGATAGTAGCCTACATTGGAAAGAGTAATACTGGCTTTAATTTGTTATCGAATTCTGCCCATATTGGTACCACTCATCAGTTCTGTCATTATGGAAATCCAAATATTCAGAGATTCTTTCTGCTGTTTCCCCAGGTAGGCTGTCTCCCTTCAATGCTCCAATCCAGCAGTCATTCTTTGAAGAACGTTGCCTTCCCTTTTTTAGGGGTAGATGCTCCCTCTCTGTCTGTCTTTTTATTTAAAATTCTCAGTAACCTGTTCCTGAAATCCTCTGGTCATCCTACAACTCCCACACTGACTGTTCTTGTTTACAGCACCGTTTGCATTCAGGAATGACAAATGGCGCGCCCCTGGCAAAAAACCCTTCATCGTCTTCTCTGTGCTGCTTCTCCTTTCGCTGATGGTGGTGGTGGCTGCTCTTGCGCTGGTGTGCCATAGATGTAAGTGCAGATCTGATGCTGTGGACCTCACTTTTCTGGGCTTCTTTGGATAAGGCTTCTTTTTACTAAAGCCCATCATTCTCCCTCCCTCCCTCACTCCCTCTCTCCCCCTCCCCCCTTCAGGATTGATGCAGTTCTGTGCCCGAGTGCATTTTTTCTGACAATAATTAAAGCCACTCATGATGCTTGGAACACAAGAGGAAAAGAACTGGGAGGACTCCCCTTCCTTTCCTTTCTTTTTTGTTCCTTCTCTGGGACAATGGAATGGAGATTTAGTATGGACGGACCACCGATTCTTCGTAGGGCTGGCTTGAAGGGGAAAGAATGATACTTCTTTCGTTTTAGCAAAATTCATTCTGCTGCTGAGGGCATTTTCCTAGCTCAGTAACTTACATGAAGGAAATATCACCCCTTAATTCGGGATTATTCAGGGCATGCATCTTTGAACAGAGAAAGTCATAAGTTGCAGCATTTCCCAGCCAGCATTGCTGACTGGGGAATGTTGGGAGTTGTAGGACTTTTTCCCTCCTTAAACAAACATAGGATTATATTCGAGGTTCTTGCCATCCCTGAGCTCTGTTATGTTAAGGATGATGGGAGCCAAAGTAAGATAAATATCTACCTGTTAATAACAAATCAATCTGATCTATACCTTGTTTTCTCTTTACAAGACATATCATTTGTGATATTGGCCAGATTGACTGCTAGTTTGGATGGTTTAAAAAGAGATTAGATTAACAATTCATAGAACAAAGGTTTTTCAATAATTGCATGGGTATTGCCAGCTATGTACGCCTGCTAAATGGAACCTCCATGTTCAGAGGCAGTATATCTAGAAATGACAGATAATGGAGGGCAGGGGGAGGCAATGGCAGGAGTGGTTTTCTTGTGGTGCTTTAGCCACTGGTGAGAGAACAATTGAAATCGGGGAACTTCGCATGCACTGGGTCAGGACTCTAGCAGGAGAAATCTGCAAGAGAGAGTGTTGCAGAAAGTTAGCAGAGAGAGAGTGAAGTGGTGTGCAAAATATACTCAGCACATATTCAGAGGTATTGCACCTGAATAGAGAGTGTTTAATTTTTATTACAAAAAAGGAACATGAAAGCAGAGCCCCCACAGTAGTAATAACTTTTAAAAGTGTGATGCATGAATGCATGTATTTATACTGATTGACAATATTGCATATGCATAGTAAGAAAAAAGGGAAAACTCCCTTGTGGACCAGCTGGGATTGGTGGCTGAATATCTAATTGTGATAGAGTCTGACCAGTGAAATACTTTAGATGCATTCATGCTGGGCAGCATTATTTCAAGGGCTGACGTTTTGCAGGTGTTCTGCTTTGTCCAGATGGCTGGGAGAAGTACCATGATAAATGCTACTATTACAATACAGAAGTGAAAGAGTGGGGTGAGGCCCGAAGTAGCTGCCAGCAGCAGGGAGCCGATCTCATGGTGATTGACCATGAAAAGGAACAGGTGAGTCTCTCACGATTGCTGCACAGACGGCCCCTCCTTGCTGGTTAGCTGTGCCTGCCAACTCCCTTGGCTCTGAGGGATCAGGACGGCAGAAGGCACAGACCCCCCACCAAGGGAACAGGCAGGCCTTGGACTGTGAACCTTTCTGCAGATGGTGCTGCCTGAGGTGGCAAGCTGAGGGGGCCGAAATCTGGTCTGTGCCATTTTTGAACGCTTATGACATAAGAAAGGTAGCCACCATCTTGGAAAGCTAGCCAGAATTTGGGTTTTGCATGGCTGCCCTTGACAAAAGAGCTCGTGGTTCTAAATTGCATTAGGCGCCAAAAAACAAGTTGTTTCTTTTACAACTTTGAGCTTGATTCTCTCTTCATATTCTGTCCAGAATTGGTGATGGCAGTGCTCCTGCTGATGATGATGATGATGATGACGATGATGATGATGACCAAATCTAATTTCACCCACATGTCAGTCAAGGCAAGATATGTAAAAAAAAAAAAAATCAGGCAAATTTCCCTTACAAGGATCTATGGAACAGATATTCAATTTTCAAGCATTTTATGTTACCTTATATTGTCCTCATAAAGTGGTCCTATCTTTCTCACATTGAGAAAGATTTTATGTTACCTTATATTGTCCTCATAAAGTGGTCCTATCTTTCTCACATTGATGCACATTGGCCTACTGAAATTCACTGGTTATTTCTATCCTCATGCATGTCAGTCTTTCTGCTTCGGCCACTCCATCCTATTATCCCCCAGTCCAGTTGCCTTGCCTGTCCACCACTCAGCTGGATCCAATGTAATTGGTTCTCGCAGTCCGGGGGCAACAGTACTAAATCCAGTCTTGGAACCATCGCGTGGCTTTCAGAGCTTCATTGGAATGTCTGCAGACCCCTTTCCTTGACATTACTGTGGAGTTTGCAACATACGGATGCTGTGACTTCACCATTAAGTCAAATCCGTTACTTCTTGCCTCTTGAAAGCTTGCATGTTGCAAACGTTGTTAATAAGATATGAAAAAAACCTTTCTAGGAAAGTTTTGTCAGGGAATTTAGCCCTGCCTTTCCTTTCCAGGGGACACCGGAAGTCTTAACAGTAACATGGCAAAAAGTTCTTTGCACCTAGAATAGGTGCTGGTGGGGTGCACAGCCTGTGGCAGCTGTTTGGTGCTTCCTTGGCACATTTTGGCAATCAAGTTGTTGTTTTCACCTAGGAGTTTCCAGAGGAAACATGGCATCCTAAGGAAGACTTCTGGATTGGCTTAAGTTACATACAGACTGAACAAATATGGAGGTGGGTGGATAACAAAACACCTTCCTACACGTGAGTATCATTCTTCAGTGGATCCTTCTCTCCCATACCATTACCAGATTGTAACTCAGCTTAAAAATAATTTTTAAAAAACCATTAGTTGCCAAGCTTTTAGCCAATCAATTCATGACTAGATTATATTTGCATGGATTCTCATATGCATACTGGATTTTCTTCTTTCTCCATTAGTAAACTAGCAGTTAAAGCTAAAAGCCCAAATAAAACACCTTTACTGATTTCAGCAGGCCTATGTGTGCCCAAGTCAACAGAAAACCTGGCTATTATGGTGTGTAAGCTCAATTGGATTCAGAGGGACTTGCATCAGAGTAAACATGCATAGAATGGGGATGCTACCTTTGTGATCTTACAAATGGAATAGAAGGAAAATCAGCTCCATACTTCTCTTTTAAACTTGGAAGGAAAAAGGGAAGAAAGTGACTGATGCAGCATCACCGAATAAGCTCCAGACTTACTCATTCCAGGTGCTAATGCTTACATGGTCAAGACAGCACCACCACCCACAAGTGGAAGGGACTAGCAGGCAGGGAGAATGATAGATTTTGCAGAAGTATCCCAAAAAATCTATGATCTCAACTCCCAGCGGGGATTCCTAAAAATGAGGACAGGGCCTATAGTGACCACAGAACGTTGAGCATCTTTGGAGGGGGAAACTGGAATTCAGACTCCTGCCCTGCATTAGTTCAGGGGTCTTGCATACAGCACTTGTGAAGGGGTCCTCAACTGTGTGTCCACAGTAGTTTCTCAAGTTCTCAAATGTTCTCATGGTCCAAAACCTTTAAAGAAGCTTGCACATGGGTATGTCTGACTGGTTAGAAGCCTGCAAAGAATTATTGCACACTGCAACTTTTTGTGATCATCAGAAAAGTAAACAATGTCCCTAAATTTGCCTACAGCGTGACCCTATGCATGTCTACTCAGAAGTAAATCCATCTAATTCAGTTGGGGTTATTCCCAAGTGAGGGTGTATAATATTTCATTCATAATTTCTTAGGGCCAAAACAGATATAGCAAACATTTTAAATTTTGACCCTAGAGTAGATGGAGGACTTGAGCCAGATTTAGATCCTAGGGGGCTTTTAACACTTCCTCTGCTATGGGCCCAATCCAGATTGGGGGGCATACCTGAAATTCCTTTTTCACAATAATGACCCATAAACCAACTTCAAGTCATATATGTTTTTAGCACTTAGCCGTATTAAAACCTGTCCCAACTCCTGTGGTTTAATAGTCAAAAGTCCTTTTGAAGTCTGCTCAATATGTTCAACAAGATTCTGCTCCCTGCTGAAGACTTTTGTATACAGTGGAGTTTCAGTTCCCTGTTCTAGATATTTTTTGGTACTAGTTCCTCTGTTTTCTTTCTAAAATCCTATTTATTTATTTATTGAGTTTCCACAGCTTTGCCAAATATGTTGATTTTTTGTTTTGGGTTTTAAAGTTGATCATTCTTTGCATGTACCAACAAGAAAGCTTTCAATCAAGTTGTCCCCAACTATAGCAATCACATGAATGAATTCCCTCCAAGATGTCCTGCTCAGGTCTTGCAAACTCAGGGCTGTGGTTTCCTGTATGGAATTGATCCATCTCACAACTGGTCTTCCTCTTTTTCTTCTGCCTTTGAATGTGCCTTGCATGAAATCTGCAGTGAGTCTTGTCTTCTCATGACGTGCCTGAAGTAGAACTTCTATTTTGTTATTTTTGTTTCCAGGGAGAGTATCTATCTATCTATCTATCTATCTATCTATCTATCTATCTATTTATTTATAAAATTTGTATGCCGTCCAATTACTAACATCTCTGGACAGCTAACAGCATAAATAAATTGACGACACACTCTGGCTGCAATTAATAAAATACAATAATAAAGTTCAATATTAAACCTTATTAAAATATCGATTAAATAAAAAGGTCTTTGCCTGGCGCCAAAAAACATACAATGATGACACCAGGCGGACCTCTCTGGGGAGCGCGTTCCATAGTCGGGGCGCCACCGCAGAGAAGGCCTTCCTCCGGGATCAACCCATCTGTACATCTTTCTATCAGTCCAGACATTCAGAATCTCTCCTCCAGCACCACCTTTTGAACGCACCCATTTTCTTCCTGCCAGCTTTCTTCACTGTCCTGCTTTCACACTCATCCACTCTGACTGGGAGTATGATGCTGGGAGTGATCTTGGCCTTGGTCTCCAATGAAACGTTCTTAGACTTATTTTTCTTATCCCTTCATTTCTGCCTTTCCAAGTCTCAGGCATCTTCTAACTTCTTGGCTGTTGCTTCCCTTTGAATTGATGACTGGCCAATGTATGCAAAATCTTTCACAATTCAATTTCTCCATTGTTAACCTTAAATTTGCGCATTTCTTCTGTTGCGGATTTAGTTTTTTTAATATTCAGCTGCTTTAAAAGCTTAATTCTCCCATTCTGTTCCCTTTTTGAAACACTAATTATTCTGCTATATCAAGTAATACGACATCTTTTTCTGTCTGTACTGTTCACAAGGCTTGTCATTTTTACAGGCTCTTTCTGCCAGCTGATACTGCAGTTCCAACCTGGGCTGGAGCTGATACATAGAGTGAGGTGCCTGCACTTGCTTTCTGTGCCTTGCTTCATGAGCCAGTTCAGAGTCTACAATGAAGGCCAGTGGCTGGATTCACTCTTCACATGTAGCACCCAGCAAATTCTCTTTATCCTTTACAGAATGTGGAAAGAGGGAAATCCAGAGATGCGTGAACATTTGGAAAATAGTAGGGATTGTGTTGTTTCCGAGCCTGCAAGCAACTACAAGTGGAAGAACACTTTTTGCCAAAAGCACCACCCGTCCATCTGTGAAAAGAGCAGGCATGTAGCCTGCGCTCTGCAGTCCCCATTTGCGCCACACTGAATTGTACACAAGAACTTAAGATCAGACCGAGCATCCACCTAGTCCAGCATTCCAGGCACACAGTGGGCAACTGGCTGCTCACGGAAGCTGACAAGCAGGACATGAGTGCAACGGCCTCGGTCTGCCCAGGTTCCTCAGCGACTGTTGTACATGGCGTCTGATAGTGGAGACAGCATTGAGCCATATGGACTACAAGCCATTGATAACCTTGCCTCCAGGAATTTGCCCATTCTGCTTTTAAATCCCCTCAAATTGGAATCCATCACAACTTCCTTAGTTTCTCTGACCTTCCATGGGGCACTGCCAATTTTCAGGGGTTTCTGGCTTCCATGATTGGCACTCCATCCCTTGTTTCCCAACCCCTAGTAATACCATGCACTGTCCAGTGTGTGTCCCGTATCTGTCCAGGCAGTGTATGTAGTGCTGTGCAAAATAAGGTGACAGTGCTGGTAGTGGGTTATAGTAAATTGCAGCGTTCTTGTTTTAAGGACTTGTTTTGTTTATGGCAAAGTTGCATCATGGGAAAACAAAGGGGATTTGCACATGTGTTTTCATCCATGTTCAGTTGAACTTGGTTTGCCTCGGAGCCATAAGAATGCATTTCGCACTCATGCGGGAGTGTTCTAGCAACACTGAGCTGGATTAGGAGCATGACATGGAATGGAGGGGCTTTAAAACTTTGCAGTTCCAGTGCAGTTCCAGTTGCAATGCAGGATACTTGCTATATGCAATGGGAAGTAAGTTTTAGCTCTTGTCAGTGTGAGTTGGTCATGAATGTGCTGCCTATTTTGCTATATTATGATCCCCTAGCCTTGATTTGCACTTTGCTACTGGGGAGTTCTGAATTAAAGCAGAAAACATTTGAAAGGGCCTTTGCCTCTGGAAAACTATGTTACATCTTAGCCTGTAAGGTGCAAGAGATGTATCACAGTATCTCTCTTTTGCTATTAAGAGAGAGAGAGACCACCATGTTTCTGGATCCAAACCTGACTGGCATTGCCTCTAGTCCCAAACATACCAGAAGAGTTGTCTGGAGTACAAATGTAATTCTCTGCTGTGCAGCACGGCAAGGGCACTCGTGGCAAAAATCAAACCTGTTTACACCAACCCGTTTCATGATCCCAGGAATTTTCCCACTATACATAGCTTGAGATGCTACATAAACTGCATGTTTCCAATAGTACATAAGAGCATAAGAACATTAGAAACTAGAACATAAAAAGACCAATGGTTCATCCATTCCAGCACTCCGTGCACACGGTGACAAAGCTGCTGCCCACAGTGCAAGACCTCCACCTGCCCAAGCAACTCAGTAACTGCTGTGTGCAGCATGTCAGCTCTGATAACGGAGGTAGCACATAGCCAGAAGGGCTAGTAGCCATCAGTAGCCTTCTCCACCAAGAAAACACAGGAGAACATCACCTCAATGTAAAACATGTGGCATACTGAGTGATGAAAACAGAACACAATGGATCTCTAGCACCACTGTCCCCAGAGCAAGGCTGAAGTAACCCTGTGACAGATTGGTGACAATCCTAGGCCTACTTTGCAACCAAGTCCCACTGAATTCAAAGTGGTTCCTGAGTAACTGTGGTTAAGTTGCAGCTCAATAGGACAACCATCCAACTGGTTCCACTGTTGTATTGCTCTCACAGTGAGGAAAATTTTCCTGATGTCCAGCCTGAATCTGGGTTGTTGCAGCTTGAATCAATTGTTCCATGTCCTACACTCTGGCATCACTGAGAAGAGATCTTGACCTTCCTCTTTGTGACAGCCTTTGAGGTACCTATAGAGGGATATCTTGTCTTCTCTTCTCAAGGCTGAACCTGCCCAGTTCTCTCAGTCTCTCCCTATAGGGCCATGTTTCCAAACCCTGGATCCTTTTTGTTGCCCTCCTTTGGACCCTTTCTAATATTTCAGCATCTTTCTTAAATGGGTGCGGTTTGCTCATTAAGACAGATTTAGAAGTCCATATATCTTGCACAGCCTGAGCCACACTGGATATCAAATGAAGATGAGAAGGACATATTGTTGTGCTTTTCAGTAATTTGTCATTTCAAAAATTGTTCTCTACCATAATGCTGTTCCAGCACATAAAAATGGTGGCTTATGCCCTTCCTGGTTGGAGTCTGCCCCAAACTGGAGAAGCAAATATGAACGTGTTAAAATAGAAGTATAGGATGCCACATCCCCCACCTCAGGGGTTTAGCAAGAGGTGGTGGGCAACCTCCCAGAAGACACCCCATTTGCACAGGCCATAATGTTGAGATACCGCTGTCCCCCGGACAGGATCTTCACCCCAGTTATGGAGTTCTGGGGCTCAGGCAATGCTGCAGCCATAGGGCCTCCTCGCTCTCCCCTTACTTAGGCAAGGGCAAGCATCAGTGAGTGCTGCAGATCAGGGCCCCATTGAGATCTGGAAAGAGGCAGAGCAGCAGGATCCTCCAGCAAATCATTTAGCAAACGCCTCGTATTTGCAGGTGAGACAGTTCTGTGAAGAAGTTCCCTTGCCTAGCTTTGCCAGCCAGGCCCCCATCTGGCTCTCGGTGATTTCCCAGAAGACCCGACTCCTTTTATGTGTTGCTTTCTTGGCTTCTGTGCTGTCTTCTCCCCATTCTAAAAGACTGAAATGCCTCGGTTTGATTTCTGGCACTAAAAGCATTAAGCTACACTATGCTGGCATTTTGGGAATTTTGGTCCTGCCCCTTTTGCCTTCCGCTCCAGTTAGGTGGGGGAATGGTGCTGCTATTTCCCTCTGCTTAACGTGGAAAGGAAGGCCAAGACCATTGGCCTACTCTCCTGTCTCATTTGCCAGTCCCATGGCCCTCTACACACTGCGGCCAGAACATATGGAAGAAGGAAGCCTGCTTTCCCTGTCTAAGCTTCCCCACTCATCCAGGGCTACTTGGAAAGTTCTACTGACTGTGTTTGCTTCCCCCTCTCTAACCTCCTGTCTTCATAATTCGAGAGAAATGGATCAGTAATTACACATTCATGGAAGCTTTTGAGTTGCACTGCAAGTCCAGTCCCAAGAGAGCAGATGAAACTTTTAAGTGCTTGTAACAGCTCAAGACCTTTAAAACAATCAATTTTCCTGTCTTGGAAAGAGACTGTCTGGATTTTACACTTACTTGTTTCTAAAAGCAGCACAGCTGAATGTTAGTTGGAATTTAAAAGGAACCTGAGGTAATCAGGATTCTTTTCCCGTAGTCTGACCTTTTCTAAAAGGAAAAATACCCCACACTTTTGGGTTCCTTTGCTTTGCATAATGTTCTTCTTTCTGTGTTTGGAATAAGAAATCCTTCAGCATGTCTTAGAGAAATTAGGACTGTGGTGCCAGGAACAAGAGGTGGCTGGTGCACCCACACTGATCGTTGGATGAGGTATGCAGTCTTCTGTGAGAGAGCATTGCATAGTTAGGGAAGGGCTCAGGGAGTTCTGGAGAACGTGCCAAACTAATTTGCTTCTCCAACTTGTGGAGAAATTGCCTGAAAAGGAGAAGAAATAACAACAGAAACAGCATGTTAGTGGAACATGGGAAGGAGAAATCTTTTTAAATGACGAATTGCTTGAGAGATCATTTTGGAGGGCACTAAATGTTTAATTTTCACCCTCACTGGAAGTTTTTGAAAGTGCCTCACAAGATGCAGGACATACTATAAAGAAAATACTTATATGTTTTATAGGCAGAGACCTCTAAAACACTACAAATTAGCATATGAGCCACTCCTCAAATGTTGCAGGAGAGCAGCACTGTTATTAAATCATATGAGCAGAACTGGAGCAAATTCCACCTCTGAGCTCAACCGTGAGTTGATTTTTCAACTGCAAATGTAGCAACAAAACACTAGTCTGCCACTCGCAGCATCTCCTTCCATAACTACATCAAGGCAAACTGATCTTAATGGTTGCTACTGCTGCTATTGTTTATCTTTTACATCCCGCCTTTCTCCCATTATGGAACCCAAGGTGGCTACATGCAGTTCCTAGATCGTTTCCCCTCCAGGCTCAGGCCAGCCCCAGACCTGATTAGCTTCCACATGGTGGACACCGTATGTGCCTTCAGACCATACTGTATTATATCATTTCACATACATTTTACAGCTTTAATGATGAATGGTAATAGATTGGCCACTGACACATTGCCTTGGAAGAGGAAGAATTATATCACCAAAACAGAGAGTAAAAGGACATGCAACTTTGCATAAAATGGGTGTGTGATCATTTACACACATTGATGCAAATTCAGAAAAAGACGGTATGACTGAAATAGAAGTTAAAAGGTTCTTCTGCACTGGGAAGAATGTTGTCCAGGCATCTGAGCGCCAACCTGCTCAGCCTGCTCTCCTGGCACCGGCTGCTGCAGGGCCACTCCAAGGTCCCTCCTTGCCTTTCTTTTCTGGTATTCTTTCTCTTTAAACTGAACTTGGACTGGACAGCTCTATAAAGTGAGCCAGATGGCTCTTTTATTGAAGAATGATCAAAAAGGTTTCCTTAGATCTCCAAAGATGAATATAAAACATTGTTTTCTTGCTGTAATGAAATGCAATTTCATATTGGAAAAATTGAAATTGTAAGCTGAGAAGGAGGTGGCTAGATGAAGTCACTGAAGCAGTTGGTGTGAGCTTAAGTGGGCTCCAGGGGATGGTGGAGGACAGGAAGGCCTGGAGGAATGTTGTCCATGGGATCGCGATGGGTCGGACACGACTTCATGACTAGCAACAACAAGCTGAGAAGAGTGTAAGTATTTGTGACATACCTTTATTTGGAAAAGTTGGCATTAGAAATGGTGACAAATGTAGAAATGCAAATAATTTTTAAAGTCTTGACATATGGACAACTCCTTAATAATTAAAATTTAACCAAATTCTCACTAAGCTATTTAGAGTTTATACTTTCCTTTTACGTTTTACTTCTTCCTAAGAGGAAAAAAATGGGATAGCCCAGCCAGTCTTATCATACATGGCTATATATATATATATATATATATATATATATATATAAGATAGATAGATAGATATATCACGCGCGCGCACACACAATTATTATACAAATAAGCAGAATTAAGTGCACTTCTGCAAACAGAGGTATGATTTTACTACCTAAAGATAGATTGGAGGATGGTTATATAACCCCCAAACTAATGGTGTCAGTTTCTTTGGTTATGTGTCATGAAAGTTACAAATTCTCAAACTTACTATTTGAAGTTTAAAGAAGGAGATATTAGTTTGATATTATGGACTGTGTAAACACCCTTTTTCAGTCCTAGCATGATTAATGTTATGATTTGGGGGGTGGGGGGGAATTATATGGTAAGGCATTAGTGAAATGTTGAATGTTCAAATGGTGGCATTTACTATCTATTTATATCTGTTAAAATCATTAAATAAAGTAATTAATGAAGTATAATATGCATTATTGTTAATAATGGATTATAGTGCGAGTTAGATGTGACTGTATCAATACTAACGATGATGCGGAAAATGCAACAGCACGCAAGTGAATTTCCACTTGTGCAGCAAGACTTTCCCCTCCTCTCTTCCCCCTGCACACACGCCATGGATGGAAGCTGTTTGTTCAGCAGGAGGAGCTAATACAACACAAAGAAAAGAACAAAGGACTTGTGCTGAGCATTGTGTGTGACCCAGAGCATCATGTTTGCTCGCTATCATCCTCTTCTGTAATTTCAGGCTCTGAGGTGGTGCACCAAGATGAAGAATCAAACATACGCGAAAGAATTTATTCTGACAGGTTTTTCCAGTTTTCCAGAAATGCAGGCAGTTTTGTTTACTCTGTTTTTGTTCATATATAGCCTAACCTGGAAATCTGCTAATCATTTCAGTCACTGGGTCCTTTCACAGTCCTTTCTTCCTTTTCATTTTGTCTTTTTCTGAAACCTGTTACAGTTTAGTTATTATCCTTAAGAGGCTGGCTGATTTGCTAACAACAAGCAAAAAGATCTCTTTTGCAGGATGTATGGCACAGATGTTTTTCTTTCTTGGACTGGGTGAAACAAAGTGCATCATTCTTACAGTAATGGGGGAGGATGACCTCCTTCTAGCAATACGCTACCCTTTGCACTATCCAATCCTTATGAACTTGCAGGAACTTCTTTGGCTTGTACATGTTGCATGCGCAGGAGGGTTTCTCATATCCCTAACACAAACAGCTCTGATTTTGGGACTGCCCTTCTGTGGCTCCAGCACAGTCAGCCACTTCTTCTGTCTCATGAGGACACTGGCCAGGCTAGCTTGGACAGATGGCCACACCATCGGAGTGGTGATCTCTTCCATCTCTACTGTGGGCTTGGCCAGCAGGTTGCTCTTCATCATGTTGGCATGTTTTCATCTTCTCCACCATCCTGTGCATCCCCTCCACAGAAGGCCCCCAGAAAGCCTTCTCCACTTGCGCTGCCCATCACATCGTGGTGATTGTGCATTATGGGTTTGCATCCTTCATCTATTTTAAATCCCAAACTGCAAATCCATTAGGTAATGATACGTTGCTGTCCATACCCCACACAGTAGTTACCCCATTTCTCAGTCCCATGATACCTACCTTGAGAAACAAGGAGAGCAAAGGAGATCAAAGACTTTTGCTCTAAGTAAAACAATCAGCAGAAAAAATATTTCCCCAAAAGATCTGAAAATGCTCAATGCGCATTTCAAATGTAAAGAAATTGAAATTGTATTTAGGACTATTTAATATATGCTTAGGTTTCTTAAGAAATATATGCTTAGGCTTCGTGATTCTAGGCTCTTAGGTTTATTGATTAAATGTTTGCTTCCTGCAGTGACTTTTGGTAAACTTTTTGTCCAAATTAAGAATGGAGATGGGCAAACATTTGTTCCCCTTCAGTGCTAAGAATTGTGCAAATAATGAACAATGGCTCAAGAAACAGGAAAAGTGGGGATATTTTTCATGAAGGTATGGTTGGAGAGGAAGGTATGAAATGGCTCTACATGTCATGGCTTAGCCATCTGATAAGTTTTGCTATACCACCTGCAGGTTTACAGAAAGCATTTCAACTCAGTCACTTTATCATTGGCTTGGTGTCAGGGCGGGAAAACTCCTTTTGACACAGGGCCCAGATTCCAAAAAGGGAAATGTCTCAGGGACCCCATTCCAGCCATGTCAGGGCTAAGGGCGTGGATGGGGCTGAGGACAGGCTAGGCCAATGGTCGAATGTGGGACATTATGCTGCCAACCCTATAGAGCACAGTTCAATGCTATGCATGATGGCTCAGAACTTTAAATACCCAGCTATTTAAAAAATGAAGATATTTAAAGGTCAGGGTATCAGAGTTTAAATCCTTTTAAATGACCTCTATTTTCTATCAGTGATTGGAGAAAAGAGCAGAGTTTCCCTGCTCACCAGAAGTGACTGTTCTCAGTTTTCTTCTTAGCTCTGATCAGAGAAGGGGCAGAGCCTGCTAAAGAAACTGGGATGGGGAAATTTTGCAAGCCAAACCTGGCCTGTAGGCCAAGACTTCCCCATCCCTGGCTTGCTGGGGATTGCAAGAGTTTTCAGGATTTTCCATCTAAATATACATAGCATTGTACTATTGACATTGTACTATTGACATATATTTTTTAGAAAAAATATCCACCTTTGCCAGTACTCTTTGCTTTAGGTTGGGTTGGGACTGGTTTCTAAAGGCTGGAGAAGTATGAAAGGAGGGATCTCTTAGACCTACCTTGTTTCATAGATCTCAGGTGCGATGGTGTAACGTGGTGTCCTGCAACAGCAGGGGGTTGAACTCGATGGCCTTCATGGCCCCTTCCAACCCTTCTGTTCTATGATTCCATGATCAGGTGGGGCACAAAGGGATTTTTCTGAAGTCATGCCAATTCCAGAGTTTTTTGCGGAGATTGAGAATGACTTTCCAAGGCTATGCAAAGTAGCTCACAGTGCAATCCTAAAGCTGGCTAGGGTATGCTGGAGGTTGTAGGGCCTTTTTGTTTAAATATACATAGAATTTTGTTTTAAACGTGACTGTACAGCTGTCATTGCCTATGGAACAGAAGACCTTTTCCTTCACTTCCCCATCCTACCAAGCTCTCTCTTCAAACTGAATTTGTAACTCTATTGTAGGGTTTCAAGCATGTCCTTATAGTATTATGAACAATATCACAATGGGTGCACATCTCTTTTGGGGTCCCTCTTTTTTAGGTACCTCTTGAAGAACTTCCAGAAGTGGCAAAATATATGTAGCATATTCTGATCAGTAAACTAGTGCAACGTTTTTAAAAAATTAAGCATGTGAAAGGGGAGACAGAGCACACAACCAGTGCAAATTCCCTGCTCAACAATCCTTGACATTTTGCAACATTTCCTTCCTTCCACCCAAGGAAACTCAACCAGTAGCTGTTTGCCATGCTCTACACAGAAAAGTAGACAGTGTCTTATATAAACGGCTGTGTAGGGTGTTCTCACATGGTGTTTTCTAAGTGCCATGAAAGAAAGTGGTTTCAGTGGGAAGAACTAAGAAGGACCTGCCAGACACAGGCAAACTGCACATTCCTCTCACAAATGAATAGATATTTATTGTGGCATTCGACATCGTGCCACTTGTAATTGCCTTCTTCCTCTAAGACAGCACAGTCTTCTTCCCCTGAATTGTTATTTGGTTCTGAAGAAGCCCAGTATCTGAAAGAGATAAAGAACATTTGTCCTGAGATCTGCTTAGGTGCCACTGTCCCACTTTGCATGATCACTGTAGGTCAGCTCAGCTTTGTCAAGCCATGGTGGTTTGCAGCATGTTCCAATGCCCATTTTGAATGTTCAGACCTCTATTGGGGGAGGGGGTTGCCCTGATTTCTGAAACTGGATGCCAAGGCTTGGCTTGATGGAGAGGAAAATAACCTTGCAATGAGGTGTGGGCTTCTAGAGAGTTGTTTCTCCCTCCAACAAGCCATGCCACCCAGGTTCAGAGGTTGCAGAGCACTATGACTGGGACTTGAATAGGCAACTATCTTGTTGTGGCTTAACTAAATCATGTTAGCCTGTGAAGATGGTTGGAACAAGGTCACTGTTAGATGGGTAGCTCACCTTCCCCTCTCCCTCGCGTATACTGGAGAGAAAGCAGCTTTCCACCTGGTCAGGCCATTCACTGGGAAAGCAGAACTAGCAGCCTGAGATTTCTGCAGCTTGCAAATTCCAAGAAGCAGGATAAGACACTCTGGAGCACTGGGGAGCAAACAGCACATAACCCTGAAGCTGGCTTGAAGCCATGGTGACCCCTTCTCTCTGGCAAAGAACCCCCAAGAAGGGAGCGGTTGCAATGAAGTCGACATGGAGAGCGAGGGAATGTTTTGCTCAGACTCAGGCAACCTGGAGCTCTCCAGATCATATGGACGACTACAGAAGTCTCCCTAACCCAGGACCATTTCCCGGGCTGGCTGGGGCTTATGGGAGGTTTCTATCTTCCCTGCTTTCCTTCAGAACCTGCCTCCCCCACTGCCCTGCTGCAAAAGAACAAGGGACCGGCAGCACAAAACTAAGGAAACCCTTTCCTTTTCCCTCCCATTCTTTATCAGATATCAACTTCCTCCTCCTGAGAAGAGGAAGTCCATGCACTCCCTGTCTGCTCCAGAGCCCTGTTGGATAACAGGCACGATGCTGTTTTCACATCCATGGTTCAGTTGACCTGTTCCCAAAAAGTATGAGGGCAATCACCATTTCCTGCAGTCCTTCCTTAGGCTTACTTTGCTTCCCTGAAAGCTCGGGTGCCACATACAGCTGCTGTCTCTGTGGACCCAGCTATATAAACCTGAGCAGTTACTGGCTGGGCTGAAGACCTCAGAGTATTTTGTGTGGTAAATGCAAACAATGTGATGTGTGGCAAAGTGCTTATAAGGCATTTTAAAGCACTCAAGTTGTTTCTCCACTTTATCCATGCATGATTTTGCATCTGTTGCATTTGTTGAGCTTCCCAAGTTTGGGTCACCTAAAAACATTTTGCAGCTTTTGATGCATCATATTGAAGAGGCCTCCAACAGAATGAAAGGGGCCCAGAGAGAGCCTAGAACAAGTACTGTACTCTCACTGAGCAGTTTGACAAACAACTGTACATTGTTGCCCAGCTCCAAACTTAAATTTACATTTAAGAAGACATAAAAAGCTCTCAAAGTCTTATAGGGTCCTGATATCCCCACCATATTCACTAATTTCCACTAATGCTACTGAACACAGGGGTGAGTGTGCAATCTATGCAAATGATCAGCAGGAGTTTGGGGACTTCTCTCTGTGGAAAAAGGGCAATGCACTTGGGCTGCAATTCTGTACCTCGGGTGGGGTGGGGGGTATTTTCTGGAGCAAAGGTGGAACTGGCCTTGGGGAGGCTGTCAGAAGTGGAGCCTCTGTACCTGCAGTAGGTGAGTCTTAGCTCAGGTGCACAGGATTCTTTGAGCAAATAAGGTCAGCTCCTTTACGCATACTGTATATACAGGTGTATAAGATGACTTGTGTATAAGATGAGGTCAATATTTTGTGCTGTTTTCTGGTGTTTGTCATATGTCAGGCATATAGGATGACCCCTGATTTTTGCTTCATTATTTTCAGTTTCAAGGGGCTCTTATATGTCAACATATGTATATATATTTGTCAGCTGGAAGCTTTTGGACCAGGGGTCCTCAGACTTTTTGAATAGGGGGCCAGTTGAAAGGTGTCAGCAATGGGTGCGGGCCGCAGAAAGGCAGGGGCATGCGTGCGCAGAGATCCTTCTCTCCCAATGAGTCCAAAACGATCTCCTTGTGAGCAAGGAGATCCTTTTCTCCAAGCGAGTCCAAAACGATCTCCTCGCGAACAAGCCGGCACCTCACCACATGTGCGTGCGCACACACGTGTGGCAAGCTATGGCAGGCCAGATTAATGGGCATGGTGGGCCGGATCCAGCCCACAGTCCATAGTTTGAGGACCCATGTTCTAGACCAGGGGTCTCAAACTCACGGCCCATGGGCCAATTGCCGGGCAGGCAGGGCACGGGGGAGGGGCCCTGTGGCCTTCAAAGCGCCGGCGGCACCCGGGCCGGCCTCCGGGAGCCACGTGGGATGATGCGGCCCAGCCTCACCCAGACTTTACTTCCAGCGGCCCCCAGGTAAGTTGAGTTTGAGACCCCTGCTCTAGACTCTCCTGACGTCACAATAGTCATGTTACCTCTCTGATTTGAAGGCCTACAGCAGCCCACAGGAGGACTGGCTGGCTGGGGCCAGTCGGGGAGGATGGTTGGCAGCAGCACAGTGGATGGGCCCAGGGGGAACCGCACAGGCAGCACGGTGTCTCTGCACAGATAGCTGCGCAGGGGATGCTCCCATTCCCAGGCACGGTGGTGCCCAGCCCAGAATGGTGCACCCTCAAGTCCAGGTCTGTGGCAGCATGCAAAGCTTGAAACATCATGCAATGCAGGATAAGCTCCCCGAGTCCCAGTAGAAGGTTTTTTTAAAAAAAAATATTAATTTAAAAACACAGTTGTAAATACATTTTTAAAGCAATTAATATAATCTGATGAAAAAAATTCACCTGATGTATAAGATGACCCCCCCAATTTTTGCCTCACTATTTCTGGTTTCAAGGGTCATCTTATTAGTGATATATGATATTAT